GACGTTTCGGACACTCACTCGAGGCCACTGTCAAGGAATGAAAGCGTACAGCTCGCTGCGTGATTAGAGCAGCTCTGCCGTGAGTGACCTTGAGTTCCCATTGTTCGCCCCGCCACGAGTGACCTTGAGTCCTGACATTGCCTGCGCAACGCGAGATAGGCATCTGGGAGATCGATATGCCTATTTATAGAGTCCGCGTGCGAGTGCCATGCCTCCTGCAAGAGGCGTTAGATTCGGTCGTCCAACTGACCCAGTATTCGTACGTGTTCGAGATTGAAGCCGTGCCCTGGCATGGATGCGTGAGCGGCTACCAAAGGAAGCTTGTCATTCCGTCCCACGGCGAGTTCATGCTGGTGCATTCTCGTGAGAACCCGTTGGCCGGTCCCACCAACGTAATTGGCTTGACCACAAAGACAGTCGATGCGGTAGATGATACCGGACTTTTAGTTACACCAGCAATTTAAGGTATTGCTCGCCAGCGCGTCGGTTCTTGCCTTCCCGTTGGTTTTCTTTGTTTGGCTCCTCGCCTGCATTTTTCGACGAATGCGCCAGGATAACCATTAATTGTGAAAAGTTTCCGCAGATACTTGACTTCGGCCTTCTTGTCGGCTGATTCGCTACAGTGGGTTTCTACGCGACGATATAGAGTTCGCACGCAGCTGCGTTTGTGCGTGCCGGGATGGTTGCCCAGGCAACTCAGAATTCGTGAAATATTTTTCGCCTTCTTGTAAACTGTTGTTTTGAGTTCTAGACTTATATATGGTAGCATAATTTAGAGAGATATTTAAAGAAATTAGCATAAAGCAACTCCCAATAAATAAAATGAATTTGATTAACCAACACCGCGATTAAAAACTGTGCATGTCGTTTTATGCAGGTACCAGTTAATACACAGGGAGTTACCCCCTCAAACTATGGAATAATAAAATAAATCAGGTTAAGCCATGTATTATATAGAATGGAAGGCAGGCATCCCAAGAAATATAATTTCCAGGAAAGGCGTCCTTTGGGAAAATGAGGAAACTATTTTTAGTAAATTTTCGACAATGGATCCCCAGTTCGTCGTCAGACTTGACTTATTCTTTGCGCAGTTTCTCAAGTCTGACGACGATCTGGGGATCCGGTGTCGAAAATTTACTGATTAAACTTTCTTCATTTTCCCTAAGGACGCCTTTCCTTGAAATCAAGCTATGCATTTTAAACTCAACAGACCTGCATAATCTATCCTTACCTTTGTCTTGAACAATAGCCAGCCCTCCGACTCGCAGCCTCCGATAAATTTTTTTTATTTTTGTCCACCGTCCCGGCTTTTATTCGGCCGAAAATGATTTCGCATTTATCAAAATAAATTGACCCAATTCGGCAAAGCACTTCCACTCCAAAAAAGCATGTTTGAATACTTTGTACTTTTATAGATCAAATCACCGCAGCGATTTTGCCCTTCTCATGTTGGACCGAGTCACTATGCACAAAAGGAGAATTAGCCAATTACTGATGTTTTTGTATCAGCCGCTATTTTACACCATTTCCACTTTTAATGTACGTCTTTTCCCGCCAATGTTATGTTTGAAATAGTCTACTTGACTTCTAAAATAACCGTTTACTAAATTTCTGATTTTCAGCTAATAAATAATTATCTCCAAACCATACTTTGTACACTTTCAAAAATTGTCATCGTTTGGAATTAGCGGGATTTCATCACGAATTGCATAACACTTCGTGAACCACTTCGTCTATCATAATTAGTTAGTCCTGGCGTTTATTCATTGCCAGAAGTAATTATTTCTTAAGACAGCCCTCTACCGCTTTCAGTCCCTCCTTATAAGGGCAATAGTAGTTATAGTAGTAGGGGCTGTTGTGGCGGTAATAATAACAGTAGTATTTGTTGTTTTAGAAATAGTAGTAGTAGAAGCAACAGTACTAGTATTAATAATAATTGCAGTAGCAATAATAGCGCTCGTGGTATTTATCCTAATGCTCTAATTACTTGTGTTTAGTATAGTTTGGTCGAGTATTCAGGTGTTCGCGTGGCTAATTAGCCTTTGGGTTGGAAGGAGGGTAGATTTCAGAAAAGAAAATTACATATCAATTAAGATACAATTAATAACTGTCAGCTCATTGAAATGCTTGACTTCGCAACCATGTCATTATCTTTCTTCCTGTGAATGGAGTATGTCAGCTATGCTATACTTGAATGTATGGTCTCTGTTGGGAATGTGCCCATCCCCACGATCACTAATCGTACAGAAAGATCCTGGGTGCAATTCCATGCCACTGTCATGATAGCGCACGCCTTGGCTATTGATTTTTCGTCTCATCTGATTGGTCTATTGTCCTCATCAAGTGGACTGAATACATACCCCACAGCCTTTTTGTAAAAGTAACTTGCTTGACTTTCTCTCTGTGAATACACTTCGCTCCCTAGCTGATTGACTTTTCTTCTCTCGTGATGGCGTTCGGGACAACAGTCGCGCTAGCTCAGAATTCGTGCTAATTACAAATAGCAAGCGCGGGTCGTAAGAGTCTCATTATCAGAGAGATTTGCGAACTTACTTGTCTGACCTAACCGACCCCAAGTGAGAAGCCCCTACTAAAGGGACCATTGGGCGATTCCGGTCACAGGCTCCTTTTCGTTAGACGTTGGCTTCCTTTACTGCAGGGGACAGTCCACTTCGCTTTGTGTGTCATCAACTCCATCCAAAGGACCGAATACAAATCCGTTAAGGGTAACAGTAGTTTATGTAGGTCCACTCATTAATCCCTACTCCCTGTATGTTTTCATATGAAAGCGGTGGTTATAGGGTTTTCTCTGTGGGTAATAAGGACATACAGTGGAATATACTTTAACAAATGCTAAATGCATTGAAATTTTACTGTATTTAGAAGGATTTTTGATTTATATTTGTAGATTTTCTTAATCTGTATTATCGTTTAACTTTTTGCGGAAAAACCCCATTATCAAATTGCGGTTAGGTGGTTAGGAGGTCATCTACTTCAACTTACCTGAGGTCCAACTTACCGTTCTGGAGTTAGATTAGTAGAGTCCGTGGCGCAAATCGTCGCGCACATCTTCAATTTACATGCGGAAAGACCTGCTGCCAGCGGCCGCGGGAAGCAACTTCGACTGCATTTTTTTCATTTTACACTTCTAAAAATTTCGTTCTCTACCTTTCCCATTTCCTCACCCCCCAAAACTCTATAACCACCGTTTTTGCAGAATAAAATGCTGGGACTAGGGGTATATGAATGGGCCTACATAAGCTACTTTTGCCCCGTTAAGTTAGCAAACTCCAAGCTCCAGACTCTATTTTTGTGGAGTTGTATTGGCCCAAATCCAAGTGCGTGTTGCGACGGTGAACCTCTCGCCTCTCGTGACTGCTTTCACGTGCGTAGCGGTGGCCGCTGCTCCGGGCTGTCCTAACTGACCAATCAGCTTCAAGGCTGACTCACACATGACCGCGCTGGAGTCGCTGTGACAGCTTCTCTTGGGTCTCACACTTCGGACGCCCGCGTTTCGCGACTTTGGGTGCTCTCCCTTTCGGTCCCCAACTTCATTCGACCTAACTGACGTCCCACTTCTACTCTTCACATATGAAACCGGGTCTTTAGTGGCTAGGGTCTTCTCTACTATCCTAAGCTGCTGCGATAGAGTAATAGTATAAAATCTTCTGATGAAAAACCCCCTGAAGCCGCATTATCATGTCCACCAAATAAAAACTTTTCTCTTCACTCTGCGAATGTGAACTTTTGGATAATATGTGGACTTAAAAAACCCCTTCGTATAAATATCTCGGCTTTCGGTGATCGAACCGCTTGGAGAGCGGATGGCTGATTACTTTCGTGGATAATTTGCTTCGAAGATAGAAATGTGGTTTGATTGCGAAGAATAAAAGTAATCACAGACATTTAGCCATAGCCTCCATCAATTAGCTGACTGCGCGTGCTAGGTCAATCTTCTTCCCCTTTGCTCCTGAAAGGAGATTTCTGTATGTAGTGCCTGGTATGCATGCGTAACAGACTGTTTATTAAGGAAGTTCATTTACCTATGTTGTCAGGACCCTGATTACGCTTGATCAAGATGACTGCAATCGTTAAGTCACTAAGCAAGCGACCATTGTGCGATTCCGCTCATATGCCCCTTTTCGTATGACCTTCATTGCATGCAAATGTCCAGCTAATGATCAGTCAGGAGCCAAACTGGTGCTCAATACATTTTTATCAGAGCAAAATATACACAGATAGAAAGGATCAAGTTAGCAAATTTGAAGCTCTAGGCTGTGTTTTTGTGAGTTTGCGCTATAAAACCTACTGGTGAAAAAAAGCCTGGATCCGCATAATCATTTCCACCAAATAGCACTAAGGTCCTCATTTGAACCACCGTGCTGAAACTAGTCTGCGTTCTCCTCTTCGCCATGGATTTGATATTCAACAAACTCGTCGTATAAGTCTTCGCCCTCTAGTATATACCCATGCATTACACCAGTTCTCATTTTTAGCATAACGCCTGACCGTTCAATTTCAAGCAGAGAGGAGTTGGTAGCTCCATATGTCTTTAACTCATCCGAGCTTTCAAACATCTCTTTCCGCTTATTTCGCGTTTCTTCCATCCAGGTGGGCTCCAGACCAGCATCTCTTCGCTTTCTGTTTTCCTTTCGCAACTCTATCATTGGATCCTCGTAATCGTATGTGCTCATGGGAATGGGGACGTAGACCTCGTTGTTAAAGACGCTCTTATTTTTGAAAAATGCCATGCTGTCATGGCACTGGGTTGCTCTGGACAGCTTCATTTTCACGTTGGCAAATCTCGCTTCCGTTATGTCAAAATTTATTCGGCAAATGTCCTTACCCAGATGAGTCAAGATGGAAGCCCGATTACTAAAGGCCTTTTGCTCCTCTGAGGTATTTGCGGCCTGTTTGAATGCAAAAGCAACTTCGAGTGGACCTAGAACGGGCAGTATGAAAGACACGTCGTCCTTGTCTATAATAATTTCTCCATCCAAACTCGTATCCCGACCTTTTGCTAGTTTTGCTGGATCATAAATCAGTGGCATTGGGGGTGGTTCCGTAATATACCACTTTCTGATTCGCATTGGTATTCCTGTCCCGGGTATTAGCGCCTGTTTAAGATATTCTTTTCCGCAGACTTGTGAAAATTTATTATTTCGGTAGTTCAGGGCCGGTCTCTCCTGGGTCTTCAGAAAATTGAAAACAGGATTTGCCGTCCTAAAGCTTAGCATTATCAGGCCGTCCTTGGCAGTGCTGATATACATCATGCTCTTTTCCACTTTATTCTCGGTGATCGTAAGTGACTTGTTGCTGAAGTTTATGTCACTTGCCGTCAAGTCAACAAAGTAGAGGGTGGGAGCGAACGCCGGGTAATCTGGTGGTACGGGATTCTGGGCTGGGGAGCTGGAGCTCGGTGTGTACTTGTGGAATATTGGTTTGTTATCCTGAGCATTGGAGCTGGAATATTGCCACGCTGCCTCGTAGCCTTTACC